GAAGCAGGAATGTCTTTCACATGGCTCCCATACGTGTATGCTTCCAAAGAGGATGGTAATAAAAGACGTCAACGTCGGAAACTTCAACAAGAGTCCAACATGCATGGGATGTCATTGACATTAGCAGAGACTGTCTCCTCACTGTGCTGAGCCTCTGTCCTCCCTGTACAGACCAGGTCCCAGGGGACCAATCTTCTTCCACTACAGGGATCTGCACAAAGTCCACGTGGGCTCAGACTGCTCAGTGTTGGATTTACTTCAGCAAAAAAAAAACGCACATCCAAGCCAATGTGTGGGCAGCCTGGTTCTGAAGTAACCCTGGTCTGCTGAAAAAGGAAGAGCCAGAAGTCAGAAGTTGGGATTTAGCAAGCACTTGTTCAACTCCTGAGTTGCCTGGCTTGAGTTTCTGCAAGCCAGGAATGCCTGAGAAGAAACTACAGCCATACATTGCTTAACTTCAGGAAGCTGGAAAGCATGTGGAATAGAAGAGGTAGATTCAGTGAAGCAGCACAGCTCCTGTGCACATGAGGGACTCAGCCAAGGGCTGTAACAGATGTGTTTTAACCCATGCCACTGAGCTATTTGGGATCTGTCTCTGATTTCTCCAGCACTCATTCATGTGTCTTCCTGACGGAAGACCAACAATAACAATTAGTATCATATAAGGAGCGGCAGACTGTTGCCAGCATTAGCAGACACTTGAGCACCAAGGGTTTCCATTCCACTTTTTATCCCAGCTATGCATACGGCAGAGGTCAGTCAACATTAATCAGTCTTGTTCTGAGCCAGCTCCTTCAGTGCGTTCAGCTTTGCTGAATTGCAATCGCTGTCTCTCAGTGCTACAAAGGATCCCAACATTCAACCACTTTGTCTCCTTCCTTACACCCACCCAAAAGAAGTGTTTTCACTGCGTGATGACAGGCTAAGCCCAGCCATGCTGGAGGTGGCCTCCAGGCCAACAGGCATCCGTGCTGGCTGAGCAGGGCATGTGGGTCCTGGCCAGGAGCCTTGCGTTGCTGCTCTGAGCTCTAAATCCACTTCCATCCCATTGGAGGACCTGACCTTCATCCACCTTCCCAACATTTCTGAAACTCACTCTCCCAGATTCCCTGGGCTGGTTTGGGATCACACATGGGAAACCCTATGTGGGCCAGCAAAGGGAAGGTAAATTTGAGCTCCTTGTCAGCGCATGAACACACTTCCTAAGAAAGGCTCTGGGAGGGATCCTGATGACTTCCATATTATTTCCAGTAAATTTTGTGCTGATTCTTGGCACAAACACCGGAAATGAATAGGCTAGGTCAGGAATGTAAATAAAGCGAAACATTGGGATTTAATCTAATCTATAATTGTAGTATCTGTGGTGCAGGGAAGAGGTTGGTGACTGCAGCTCCATAGAGGAGCCAGAGGGGGGGTTTATTTCCCTTTCCAAATGTTCCATTTCTGGCTCTTGGTGTTTCCCCAAGCATCTGAAACAATCGTGCTGGGTTGGCAGGGCTGCTTTCCGGCAGCCCATCAGGTACAGCTCAGCAAAGAGGCATCCCCAGGCACCCAGGGGATGGGGAGATGAGAAGCTGAGATAGTTGAGCTGGACTGGAGGCTCAGGGAGGCTGTGGGACGCACAAGGGAAGCTTCTGCCTCAGCAGCAAAGAGCACTGTTGGGTTTGTAGGCTGTTGAGCTACGTAAGGACCATGCGCTATGCAAGGTCTGTCCTCCAGGCTGAATTTAACCTCCACGTGTGGGCATCCACATCAACCATATACCTCAGCCAATGGCTACATATAGCCTTGATGAAGTGGACTACTTTCCATCATCTCAACCCCAGTGTACTACAGGCAGGGGAAAGAAAAGGGCTGACAGGAAACATATGTCTGTCAGTCTGAAAATGCAAAGGACAAAGAAATCAGTTCTCCTTTTGTTAGTGCGTGTTTTCAAATTACAGAAGTCTCAAAAGCAGAGGAATCAATCCGACTGCTTGTTTGCTTGTTTGTAGAGCATTTTTTTGGATTTGTTTTTCATGTGCAAGCCCAGCTTTGATCTCAGGGTGGTAATATGCCAAACAAGTGGCCAACAGAAGTGAAACTGCCGTAGGTACTACAGAAGAAATGGGACAGGACATCAGATGCATTTACAAAGCAGAAGAGACTCCCATGATCTCACAGCCCCCCGCCTCAGTGGTACCCTCAGACTACTGAACAAGCAAAAGCATTTGCTTTTGAAGAGCTCCAATGCTGCAGGATCTGTGTGCTCACCTACCAGCCTGGAGAAAAGCACAGATCCCTGCCGAGCTGCTACAATCAGGATTAATACCAGCTTGGAGCCTTCCAACAAAGCTATTTTTTTTTCCCCACAAAAACAAATGAAACAAGCAGAAGAAATTCAATTTCAGAAGTGACCTCGTGCCCGTGTTTCTGTTGTTGTTATGTCCACGCGGGCTCAGAACAGAGTGTTAGCCTCACATTTCCCTGTTCTGGCTTTCTTCATGCTGTGTCGCAACTGTATGGACATCTGAACAGAAGAATATTTAATGTGTGTACTTATGTATCTGAGAATGCACAGATGCTAAGTAAACACGTTCTGGTTGGCTCTCAGGCTGGAGCAAATGCGTGTGCACTGGATGTGCAAGCACAGCAGGGTTTGCAAACACATTGAGCATAGGAGTGTTGGTCCAGGCAGGTGTCCTGGTGCACACAGCAGCAGATGCTGAGCAAAGGGAGATGTGGTGTGTGTGTGCACATGTTTTGCATGGCCAAGAAAGCAGGTCTGTGCCCCACACATGCCAGCACATACGTGTGCCTGTACATATGCATGTAAGCGTGAACAGCCCTGAAAACTGGACGCCAAGCCCTGCTGAGCATGAGCTAGTGGACAGAGCCAATGCATCTGTGCATCACCCTGTCCTCTCCCAGCAACTCTGCCCTGTCTCTGCAGAAGCAATAGGGCCAAAGCCTTCAGGTGCCAGGGGACTGATGCCTGCTGGCTCCCCATGCAGAGCTGCTGTCCCTCGCCTTGAGACACCTGCCAGGAGCAAACCCAGGACACAGGGCATCGCCAAGCCCTGCTTGTCCCCACCACAGCAGTGTGACGCAAGACCTTCAAGCAGAAGCCTGGCTTTGGCCACAGGGATGACACAACCCTGAACAAAGCCTCCCACCCAAAGCTCTCCTAGCCCTCTATAGCCATCAGGACTTAGATCACAGAGCCCCCAAAGAGACGAGTGAGCGCAATTATCCCTGCCCAGCAGATGGGGAAGATGATCTGGCAGTGTGGGCTGCCAAGCAGCCAGATCTCCTGGCTCCCAACCCCACACCCCCCATCCAACCCAGCAGCTCGTCCCGCGCCTGGCGCTTTGGCAGCTGCAATCGCTGATAGCTCACAACCTACTTTATGGGCAGTGGGTCATTAGCGAGCTCTGCACTTGTTCCAGGCTTTCCCTGGCACCTTTTCAGAGCGACTCAGTTCCCAGTGATATTAATAATTATATTTATCCATTATAGATATTTAACAAGAAAACATTTAAAATGACGAAATGGAGAGAGGAGCCTTCTCCTGGACGCCACTCTACTTGAGAGATACAAAATAAAGGCTTTGCCATCTTTGGAGGCTGTCAACATATTTAACTTCAGGGCGGTGGAGGGGGAGGCAAAGGGAAAGTATTAATCAAGATCTTAAAAAGTTCTCGCTGACAGACCATTTGCCAGCTCTTGCTTTAACTGCTTTTGTGGTCCCATAAAAAGTTTCATTACTCACTACAAAATGTGTTTTAATTATTACAGTCGCTCTGACATTAAGCTCTGGATGTTTCTCTCTTGCTTACTCTGTCTCTCCTTCATCTCCTTGCCTCCTTTTTATTCCTCTTCTTTTTTTCTTTTTTTTCCTCTTCTCCGACTCTCCCAACTCATGCCATCCCCCACAGGACAGAGGATGCCACAGCTAGAGAAGAGTCTGAAGATCTCAGATCCCCAATGGGAGAGAGCTGACTGAATTCCTTGGCATCGTCCTTCCCACAGACTTCAGCATTTTGGGACCTCTTGGATAGAATCATTAATAACAGAATCACAGAATGGCTTCAGTTGGAAGGGACCTCAAAGGTCATCCAGTTACAACAACCTTGCCAAGGGATATAGGCAGCAAAACTCCTCAGCATCACAAGGATGCCATGGTTGCAGTAATGAGGACAGGAAAACATGGGTGTGCTCCAATACAGCACGCACCTGCTGAGTGTCCACTGTCCCGTTCTGGGGGATTAAAAATATAATGGGGAGCATGCTGCTGCGTCTGCCTCATGGCTCTGCTCTGCCTCCTCCACGCCTTCAGGTCCCTGCCTTCAATCCATCTCCACGTGCTCTTCTTTCCCATGGAAACTTACTCCTACTTTCTTGATCAGACACCCTTCGAACTACAGTGAAAGAGAAGTCAATAGTTGGATGCTGAAATTATCCCTTTACTTTGGATATGAGCTACTTTGTACGATTCAAACAAAAAATCCAGTCTCATGTTCTCATATGTGTTATCTCAGATGAGCCAAGTGATTAAGAACATCAGCATAGGTGTGACCATGCATCCCTACAGAAGTGACTGGATGGTGGGCAGGTGAACTTGGTGCTTGAACTCTCCAATCCGGTACACGTGTCTTAGTGAGACAAACAGCAACTGATGTGAGCAGCCCCTCTCACATCCTTGACATCTTGCACTCTCATCTGACCAGGAACATGACCAGTGTGTGCAACATCAGCTTGGTTTGTCCATGTAAGACAAACTCATCGCACCTGGAAGCCCATCACACTGGACACGTAAGTGGAGTCTCCCACAGGCTCCCAGTGCCTCCAGTGCTGTACTGGCAGATACTGGTTTTCCATTTCACTGGTTGAGCCCAACACCCAAAGCAACAGCCTCACTGTTTGTCCACTGTCTGGTGTAACACTGTGTTGACCAAAAAGGATAATAACCATCAGGTAATCCCATTGCCCAGAGGACCTCCCCACATGCCTTTCCTTACTTGTAGAGACCATCTGGTTCCAGGCACTTGAAAATAACTGAGTAGAGGCTGGTTTCAGGGACATCTCCATGGCTCCGACCCGCTGCCACACAGGACGTTGCAAGGCCAGAAAGCAAATCATCTGCAAAGCTTAAAGATTCTCCTGGAGAGCAAAGAGACGAGAAAGACCAAAACATCAGTACAGGTGCAAATTATCACTGGACATCGACAAAATAATGCAGGAACATCTCTACAGAGCCCAGCTTAAGGGGAAGCAACAACATCCAGCTGGAAGGAATGGCCCCACGTCTACGTGGAGAACATTGCTTGGGCACAAAGCAAGTAGAAAAGACATTCAGGCCAAGAGCTGTAACTGGGATCCACAGCAGAAACTGTGCCCAGTGCTAAGTCAGAGCTTGGGAAAGTGTTCAACGAGCACAGCAGCAACACATGTGGGACCACCACCAAGGAGGGCCCCATGTCCCTGGGACAGCACAGATACCCACGCTCAGCAGAGCCCTCCTGCCCTGAGAGCACTTCCAGTTCTCAAAAAGGGACATGGCCTTTTTCAAAAATTCCCTGTCACTGTGAAATATGTTTCAGCTATGTGAGATTATCAAGCAAGGAGACGTTTATAGAGCTTGCATGTAATTGCTTTCAATGTGCTGTTTATTTTTTTATTCATTCAGTGGAAATCAGTAGCTTTGCACTCCCTTTCATGTGCTCTCCACCGGCTCCTGGAGCTGACTGCTGCAGCGCTCGGCTCAGCCGCACTGAAGGACATTCGCCCCATTACAGGCATTCAAAGAAAAAGAATAACAATTAAAAAACCACTGAAAGACTTTTTTTTTTTTTTTTTTTTTTTGTCTTCTGGTTTATAAAGCTTATTAAACGCTTAGATCACGACCCAGCTGAAACTGAAAATGTCCCATTTATTAAGCTCTTTGGACCTGATTATTCACTGCTGTGCAAGCTGGCTCCTCGCACTGAAGATGCTGAGCATTCCATTCCCATTTTGCATCCGTGTAACCGAAAGCTCAAGGTACCCAGCAGTACAAATCCTGAGCAGCTGCCCTGGTTGTGCCCTTGGAGAACCAGAGAGAGGGCGGCTGCAGCTGCTGGGATCAGCAGAGCTGGGCCCAAGTTGCAGCACTGGGTACTCGTGCACATGTAAATGTCAAAGCACCGCAGCAGAGATTGGAAAATTCCCTTCTCAGCACATTTCTCCCTTTATTCTTCTGTAAGCAAAATTAAGTGAGGACTACTGAAGTGAAGCACAAGTCTAGTCTCTCGGTATGGACTGTAAGAAATATCCCACTGGTATGCCCAGCCCAGAAAGCCTCATTGTGTGGCCGGATTACCCAGGTAGAAGAAAAAAACCCATCCTCCTCAGCCCCCCCAGGCCGTGTTTGAGTCGTCTCAAGATACACAATTCAGTAACAAATGTCCCCCTTGGCTAGAGAAAAGAGCAGCAATAAATACTTTTCCTCCCTAAAGGAATCCAAGCCTTAATTATTCATTTTAATGCTCCCAGCACGACTTGTTCTTTCCAAACGTTTTTCAGGCAGCTGTCACCAGGTTCCAGAGTTTACCCTGGCTACCAGAGCTGGGGCTGTACCACAGCCCAGGTCAACTCAGCGGGCAGGTTGGGTTGGCAGCCCAAAAGTCACTGCCTGGAAGTTGCACAGCCTTCAGCAAGTCCCTCAGCGCTGGGGTGATGGTTTAAATAAACAAACAGCACTCTACTGCACATCTCCAATTCTCATTTCCATCCCTTCCCATTATGACATCGGGTTGGGCTCGGGAACTCCTTGTCACCAGAAGTCACTGAGGACACTGTCACCATGGATGAATCACTGACACGTAACGAGAAAACAGCACCAGAGTGTGCTGCTGAACTATGGAAAGACCTTTTGATCCTCTTCAGACCTCAAACAACTGCTCTTTGGATGAGAAAGAAACTTCATGGAGGGCAGACAATCCCATGGGTGTCTCTGTGGGCATCCCACATCTTCCTCTGGAGCACTCATAGCCATCTACCCTGCCCCTGGGTCAAGTCTGTCTGGCAGCTCCTACAGCATTACTAAAGATGTCGGTGTTTGTTTCATTTTGTTGAGTTTTCTTCATTTCCTTTCCTGGTTCCCTTGGACCCTGCTCTTTGCAAGCTGGCTATTTATCTGACCCAGTCACTGCGCTGCCCTGGGACCAAAAACCAAGTCAGCCCCTAGACACAGACCAGGAGCTTGTCAGCTGGATATACCTAAGGCAGCACGTGTGTTTGCCAGCCTTGCAAGAGGATGACAGACCATGAACCTACCAAGTGAAAGTGGACCTGGGGTGCTGCAGCAAGAGAGCAGTACCCAGCGGGCTGCACAAAGCCCAGACAAGGGCTCAGCAGGAGGGCACCACGTTGCATTGCTCCACCACGCTCACGAACGAGACACAGGAAAAAGCAAGAGAGGAGGCTTCACAGGGAGATAACAAAAGGCACAAGTTTCGTGTGCATGCAGAGAGATAAAAGAAGAGGAATGCAGCTCTGAGAATGCACCACCAGGGCAGGGGCTCAGATGGAAACTAAATATTTAGGCTAATGGGCGGTAATGGCACAAGAAAGTAAATTGGAGATGAATAGATGGTCTACTCCTGAGAAGGACAAATAACCTAAGTATCTCTTCGGATAGAGTTTGATCATTTTATAAAAGGGATTATATGGATAAGTAGCTTGTGATGGAAAGCAATGGAGCTTCTCTTTCCCGTCTGGACCTGTGTTCTCACACACCCTGCCAGCAAATATAAAGAAGGATTTCAGCCTCCCAGAGCAGCCCTGGAGCGCAGTCCTTCTAGACTGCTGGAGTAGCTTTGCTCGCATTATTAAATTTCAGTAAGAATTCAGAAAGATTCTCTGCAGAGTAAATGATAGCTAAGTAGATCATCTCTGTGGAGGAGGAGATATTTTATTGACCAGACAGACATCTGTGCCCTTCATTAATAGCAATAAATAATTGATGTCACACTAAATAAAGCAATGAGCTGTTACAGATATCAAGGACAAATAACCATCTCTTGTGAGGATGCCTCACCTGTGTTCACTTCTCAATGGCAAGAAAACCAAACCGGAGCTCAGTGCCACTATATTAAGTGCTGCTCACAGAGCCAAAGAAGGTACTTCACACACTGATTACAGGCAATGGAGAAATAGTGCTCAGCACTGGGCTAATCATACACCAAATTCATGCCAGAATCTCTTCCATGCCACTGCCTTCCCAAGACCGGTCAGCCCCAAAGCACCCAGTTCCCCAGGCAGCTTTAGAATACCAATCTCTGCTCTGCTAATGACCCTCAGAAAGATGCAGCTCTCTCCAGGCATTTTCCTTCTCTCTAGTACAACTCCTCACTGTGCCTCATCCTCTTCTACAGATGGGGCTGTGGAGTTTGGCAAACTTCCTCTCTTCTGTTTTGTAAACATGACTCTTATACTAGCTGTGGTGTCACAGTGAGTCAGTGTTCTCCCCAAAACAGAAGGAAATAACAGCATGCTTGGAACCTGCTGGGAATTAGCTCTACTGCGTGAAGCTTTGCAGTCTAATGGCCCAAAGCTGCTCACACCAAGGCATGCTGTAGGTCAAGCCACAGTGATGGCTCTGGGAGAGACAACAAGGAACCCAAAGGATGTCTGCTCTGGTGGACAGTAACCCAGCTTCCACCCACTGCAACCTGTGCCAGTGGGCCAGCAGCCTCAGGCAGCACGTGGGATGAACTGCTCACCATCCATCCTATTGAATGCAATGGAGTTATGGCACTGAGCTCCACCAGACTGAACTGAAGAGAGCAGGGCCAGGAGCCTTGGTGAGGTTGGAGGAGCAAAAGGGACCTTCAGAGATGCTCCCACACCTCCAGGGAGGTGCTGTGAATCCAAATGGCAGAGTAGAAGAGAGGAGACCTGTGCTGAGATTGACCTTGGAGATTCCTAGAAAGATCACGAAGGGGAAAGCAGAAAGGCACCAACATCTCTGTCTCGACAGCTTCTTTGCTAGACTGAATTGAACCAACCCTGCAACGTTACCAGCCACTTTCTTCTGATTGTGGTTTTCTCTCTGTCTTTCTGCCTTTTGTTTTTTTTTCAACCTGTTTTCAATTTACTCTTGTGGCATCTCTGACTGTGACCTCATTCTGGTACTTAGGGGGAAAAAAAAAAAAAAGAAAAAGAGAGTGTCCTTTAGAAAAGAAATGAAAGAAATCATATTTTATTTAGCTTGGTTGGTTTTGAAGCTTTAGCAGAAGAAAGATTAACCTTTTCTGCCTAACTTAATGAAAACAAGGAGAAAGCCTGTATGGATAAATAAATATCTGTGTGGGTATGGAGCAGGCATGATCGTGTTACAGCCCCGGTGGAGCTGTAATAGGGAACAGGCGCGTTCCTGCACAGCGGCTCCCAATTCCCTATCCATTTTCAAGGAAAGAAAAACAGAGTAGAATGTCAGAGGCCCAAGTGGGCATGAACGAGGAAGCCCAGGGAAGGCAGATGGGGCCCTGCGAGGACTTCTGTCCCCGGCTGTGACCTCCAGAGCGAGGCCAGCAAAGCAGATGGAATAAAAGGCCCTACTCCACTTTGCTCTTGCCAGGTTTTGTTTCCTGAAATGAGGAAACAAATGGCACTCCGAACCCTCCAAATCTGTCATGTTTTGGGGCAGCTCATCACACTCTTTTCTTGCTCCAGGGCTCTGCCCCTGAAGAGAGGAGGATATCAGGAGGTCTGTGAGCAGAAGGCCTGGAGCAGTACTGGGGAGGGGAGAGTGGGGAGCAGGGCTGCTCCTTCCCAGCACGCCATACCTGGGCTGAATGAGCTCCGGGTCCGGCTCCTGATGGGAGAAATCAGTGAGAAGTGGTTCATCTTGGAGGCGAAGGGCTGATTTAAATTAGTGAAGTCATTATTTACATCAGCAGATGGCCTGTCTTCCGCCTTGGAGAACACTAACAGCAAAACGTCCCCACTGATGCTGGTGGAAGGATGTCAAAATCTCTTTCCCTGCAAGGTGTGCCAGCCTGTACTTTAGTTATTACTGAAAAGTCTTCTGCCCACATTCTGGGAGCACCCACTCTCGCTGTCCTCCTGTGTTACGTGGAGCATGCCTAAACCCCCATGCCCAAAAATCCAAGAAGTCC